AAAGACGCTAGCTATGTTCACCTGTACAACCTGTTTAATAAAAATCATAAAGAAAGGGGAAAAAAGAACATGACGAATCTTTTCCTAACAACGACGTAGTTAAAGAAGGAGCAAAATTGAATACCAATAGAAAAAATCTATTTCTTTCTTTCACGTATTGACATAAACGTGGCCTGTTTGACACGATGCTTCCTTGGGTCGCAAGTAACTTTCAAGTAATACTTTGAAACAATCGGAGGTTAGAACTTGTGCAGGCGACTTCACAATAAAATAGTGGAAAAACCTAATATTGTCGCTTATCTTTCATCCCATTTCTGAGTAGATGGATAGAATTATTAGCAGAACTTGTGAGTTTAAGGTTTAATCTTTCTATTCCCTTTGAACTAGGCTGAGAGGAGTGATTGATAGATTTAACATAATTGCTTAGTTAAACTTGCACTCGGGGCAAAGCGATGTATAAATTTTTTTTGTTCATAAAATTTCATGTTCACTACAAGTCTTTTTTTTCTCAAGAAAAAAAAATCATGTCCAAAGGAAAGTATTTTACAAACAAAGAAACTGGTGAACAGTATCCGCTGGGCGGCTTTCATCCATCGTCGAGACCGTCAACAGCCAAAAAGTTTTCGTTAATTCGAAAATTTGGGGCTGCAGAAATACCCCAAAAAGTGGATTTACGTGAGGGGATGACACCAGTCGAAACTCAAGGAACTTTACAATCATGGTAAAAAACACGTTATCTGTTTGTGCATAAAGAGGTTCGTTAATAATATTAGTCTTTATCTTTGTAGTGTCGGAAATGCTTTAGCTGGTAAGTTGAGCGAATGGTTTTAATCTGATTTTTAATGCGATGCGAAGGAACCGCATTCTAGCAATTAGCGTGATGTTGTTTTAATATACGCTTTTTTTGCGTCATTTTCTCACGCTGTATGTTCAAGGTCTAAAAAGTGTGTAAGAAAAATAGAAAAACGAGAATATGGAGCGGATTCTGAATATGGGAACGTCCTATTTTGTAGTTCTGTGGGACATTTAATTTCTTGCCTAGAGCATCCTAAAAGATGGTCGATTGACAGAAATTTTACAGCAGAAAGAGATAGTTGGTGTTGTGAGTGTACACGCGCCATCTAGGGTGAAGAGAACATTTGTTCAAGTTGGCTTGTAGCCAGTAAGCTCGTTCTCTGTAATATTATAACCGATATTATTCTTGATATTATCATCGATATTATAATTGATATTATGAATCGTCAACGTTTTTTACCTGCTCTTGCCTGCTGTGTTATTGATAATTAACGCAGTGTTGTGACAGAGTTATTATAGCGATTAGTTCATAGTTTCTACTCACGTGGTTATTAATGGTGTCAGTGTTTTTCAAGGATGACAAAGAAGATTGAAACTATATTAATCATCAAATGATCTGTTGTACTTGTTTTTGCAACTTTGTCTCACTCATTCACTATTCTTTTACTTAATTATCCTTCTTAGACTGTCATACGTCAGATTTAACACGTTCACCGTCCATGTATCATATATGATTCACTTGGTTGTTGACCATGGACCGTTTTTTTACTATATGTCCGTGAATTATATATAATCAGAGAAATTAAAAGGTTCTCGAGAGAACTTTTGTACTAAAAACATGAAAAACTGTCAATTTAAGTTTCATAGTAGCATTATCACGTAGTATCTAAAATCGACGTATGGATGATGTTTTAGGTTTTCTTGTGAACAGTGAACATGTTAAGCTACTTACGACCTCGTACGCAACTAACTAGAGTAAAACTGTTTTTTGTGATTCATGCGTATATACAACTCTTTCACTTTCCTGGTTTTCGGTATTTTTCCAAGAAGAACTTCGCACCGCACTGGCAACTCTCGCGTAGTGTGACTATTGTCTAGTTTAAACTGCTCGTCTGCTTGTAGGTGCCTATGAATTTTTGATTAAAAGAAACAGCGGTAAACATGTTGATGTTAGTCGTTTGTTTATTTATTACAATGCTCGAGAGAGAGATGGAAATTGCTACGATGATGACGGAACAACAATTGTGTCAGCCGTCGAAGCCCTAGAACAGCTTGGCTGTTGTAAGGAAGAAACATGGCCTTATGATCCAAGTCGGGTCGGTCAAAAACCAACGAAGCAAGCTTACGAAGAAGCTATGAGATATCGTTTATCCGAGAAGATATTCGTCGATACAGAATTAGGCACCATGAAAGCGTGTCTCGCTCAGGGTTATCCGTTTGTGTTTGGAATTCTGTTATTTGAGTCATTTGGCCAAGCAGAAACGAACGGAACGGTTCCTCTACCCCGAGAGAATGAAAAAGAGGGTTCGAATGGTCATGGATGGCACGCAATGTTAGCAGTGGGATATAGTGATAAATCTAAATGCTTCATTGTCAGAAATTCTTATGGAGAGAAATGGGTTAGTGTAAAATAACATATGAGATACAGACCTTAATAACTTCGGACATCGTCATCTCCCACACACGTCATGCAGATAGTTGACCATATTTCTAATTCTTTTATACGGATAATTGATTTTATGTGTTATAGGGTGATAAAGGCTACTGTTATATTCCGTATGATTACATGACCAATCCAAAACTTTGTCTAGAAGCGCATGCTGTTCGAGCCGTGAGAAGAGACGAGCCTCAGACAGTGCAATCAAATACACTACCGTATCCGATAACAGATCCTGTTTGGACAGGCACTTCTGCCCCACCGTTTTTACCCACTCTTCCAGCGAATTGGGGATGGAGTTCAATGGACACCACCGATATTTACGGGTGGGACAAGAACAAAGCCAATACCAATTACTCAATTGAGACAACAAAAAGAGAAGAAACAGAGAAGCAACCACAAACCTCAAATGATCCACACATTCTGTGGATTGATAATGAGAGTGAAGATCCGCTCTGTCGACATCTAAAAGCCGAAAGTGGTGTTAACATTGCATTTTGTGAGACAATCGCGATGGCTGAAGAATATTTATCTAAAAATATTCAGTACATTAAAAACTGTAGATCATTTCAAATTGTTTGTCGTGGGTATTATAAGTCAGAAAACAAAAATCCACTTAATATATTACACCTAGTTGACAAAAATCGAATTTCTTGTTCGACGCCGATTCTTGTTTACACGAGAGATAAAAGTGGTGTTGAGAAATGGTTGGCGCAATCGCCAACTCAAGCTTGGCGACAGCGATTATTCATAACGGATAGTGCAGAAGCAGCATTCAACCATATTAAAAATGGTTGGAAGTCCGGTACATCATGACCGATGGATCCATTGAGACCTTAAGACTGCAAATGTATGTGGAAAAGTCTGAAGTCTGGACTCTGTTAAAGATATATGTGTTTGTAGTTAATCTTAAAAAAGAAAACTAATAGACATGTAACACGAAAATACTATCTCAAGATCGACAGCACGGATTTTGTTAAATCTCAGTACTTAAGGGTTTGATCTCACCAGTGATCGTGAAGACAAAGCAAATCTGTTAAATGATTACTTTGTATTCTAATGCATTACGAGCAGCACTGACGAAAGCGTGACTGTAGAATTAACAAAAACAAACAAAAAGTTCAGTATCATTCATATCCCTTCAATGGATGTTGAAAACAATATTGATTACACTACCACCATTTAAAGCTACAATGCCAGATATATCTAACAAAATACTAAACGAATCTGCCTCATTCATTTGTTTTCCTGTAGCGTATCTTTTTTCTTGTTCTTTTACATAGTGGATATTTCCGAAGCGCTGGAAAAAAGGATATGTTCGATTGATCTCCAGATCTGAACTTGAATTCACCTTTTCGATTTTTTGAACCTAATTAGGCGTTTCGAATTCGAAATCATCGCTATCCATTATGCGAGACTAAGAAAATACAGAGACAGCAAATTGGGTTCAATTTACTAGAATCCGCAAACAGTAAAAGCCTAGAGAAACAGTAGAAATTAATGAAAAAAAAGAAAGGGTTGTTAGACTTGGTAGCAACGAAACGTTTGGACAGATAGTATACATTCTGAAATACTTTGTATAAACGGAACATTTAGACACCATCGTGATATTATGGAGAATTTACACTTGCCGCAAGATCAAAACTTCCGACTTTTCGTAGATTAGCAGCACATAGGTAATTAATATATTATTTTGTTTGAGGATTTTGAGGATGTTTGGGATTTTGGAGATTTTTGAGATGTTTGGAAGGTTTGAGGGATGTCAATTCAACGACTAAAACACAACTATGCAGATTATGAGAACTGTGAAGCACAGACCAACACCTTGAACACTATTCACAACTATGAGAACGATTCCGAACTATTTATTAGGGTGTATTATAATAAAAATTTGATCTCCAAATCAGATTGTGATTAACCGGAGGGTAACTGGACAGTTCTCAATGAATAGTTTTCGTAGTTCAGAATAGTTCTCCAAGTTGTGAATAGTTTTCATGGTGTTGGTCTCATAATCTGCATAGTTCTGTACTGCAGTCTTTGAATTGCACTTCCCAAAAAGCCGAAAAAACCCCCAAATCCCAAAAGTCCCAAATATAAATAATAAATAATTTTTCTGCTTAGAGCAACATCTAAATTTCCAAAGTTTTCGACATTGCCGCAAGTGCAATTCTTCCGATGTATGACCAAGATGCGGTTTTATAATACCTAAAGTTGCTATTTTCATTCCTAAAAAATCAACAATCGTACCACTGGAAAAAAAGTATAAGAATCAATTTTTAATTTCTCGTTCGGCAGAAAAACCGTTTTCGGTTTTTGGGATAGTAATGAACTCATTTTTTTGGCTTATAAACCACGTTTGGACCAGTTTTTAATATTTTTGTGTTGTTTTATCATAATAGGTTCTTTGTAGGAAGTAGAATGCTGAAAATGAGAATGATCAAATGCCAAACGAAGTTCGTCTTTGTCGAGAGAACTTTCATTTTAAAACGAACCATATCGTCATTGCTCTTATCTTTAAATGAAAGCTAGATCTTTTTCCTGCGTGTTATATTTAAGAAGATTTCATCTGTTTTTTGATGGCTAAAGAGCCATCATCCATTTCAACATATAATGGCCGCGGGAGTTTGCGCGGATGTCCAAACTCACGAAATCGTGCAGCAAAATGTGATGCAACATCGATTTCATGATTGCTCGGTTCACACGATGAAACTAATACACATGCCCATTTTTTATTTCTCTTGTTGTCTGTAGACGATTTCGAAGATTCCGTTTTTCAACACTAACACGTTCAATCACATCTGAATTATCTCGATTTAATTTATACCTAAAAATATAAAAATCAATGGTATGCTCGTTAACAAACAAAAAAGATGAACCACCTGGTACAACCATCTGATATAAATAAATACCATATTTCAGGTGGTGGTAGTCATGCCGATTTGTTTCAAATAAATATCAGCGTTAAATTTTCGATTGTAAACTACTCGCATTATGGTATCGTAACGCTGTCCAGGTTTTACAATAGTTTTTTTCGTTACCTGTTAAAAAAAGAGAACTGAGAGAGAGTACAATACTACTATAAAATATTGCCATAATTTTACTCTTGCGTTGATCCGCCGTTAGAGGTCTTATGGAACGTTGCCATCCTTGTATAGTACACACTTCCATTTGAAGATGATGAGATTGAGACTTATTGCCAGGTGTATATAATTCTACTGCGAGTAAGTCTGGGTAACGTAATTTTCTACCATATTTTTCACGAAAATATTCTGTTACAGTTGTTCGATTACCATCCTCATTGCCCTGACCATTTTCTACTTGTTTTGGAAATGTATGCCGATTCGATAATAAACCAAAGCCACGAACTTTCCATGAAATTTAAATGTCATTAAGAAAAATTCTATCTAGTTTCTAATTCAACTTACTTAGATATTTTCGTATTTGGCCGGTATGATTTATTTCAAGCCATATTGGTTTTAGTACTTTTTTCAACAATAATTGTTGTTCATGTTCTGAAATTCCACGAGTAATATCTGTCTGTAAGTAGTCACATAAGGAATCAACCAAATTCATTGGATGATAAAAACACGTAAATGTATTGCTAATATTTGGTCTAACTTAAAACATTAAAAACTTGATTTTCTTACAAGTGATAAAGGAACTGTAAAAAAATTTTAAATAAATCACGCAACGATTGGACAAAACCGACATAAATCACTCATCCTAACTATGACGAGCATATCTTTACCAAAGATCAGACGAATAGTGAACAAGCCATAACCCTTGAAACGCACAACAACATAAACATCCTAAAAATCACAAACATCCCCAAAATCCCCAAAATCCAAAACACCCAAACATCAAAATATCGTAATATGATACCACCGTATTTTATATAATGGTATCTATCTTATAGTACCATTTGTTCTAAATCCTTTTTCTGCTTGCAGCAACATCAAAATTTCTAAAATTTTCGACATTGTCGCAAGTCAATTCTTCAATCTATGAACACCATATAAAAGTTTATATTCAGTTCTGCAGGGATTTTGCAGATTGTATATCCCCTCTCCCCTTCCCCCTAGTATCAATCTTAAAAACGTTGCTATAGCACGAGTACCGGTCTTAAAGATTCCATTCTAGAATATTCGAAAATATTCTTGAAGATTCTAAAATATTCTGAAATCTCCTAGCAGTTTTGACCAGAGCTGGCGAAGGCAAGCCAGAAATGCCTCAAGTCCAAGTCAAATCAGGTCAAGTCTGATTTGGTTGAAAAAGTTTTGGGGTTTGACTTAGCTTGAGAAATATTTTTTCGTAATCGAAATTCAAGTCAAGCCATGTCTAGCAAGAAATTTTCGTTTACATTAGGCATTTTTCACCGTGAAACAGAGTTTCTGAAATCATAAAAACTACCTCTCACATAAAAGACGCTAGCTATGTTCACCTGTACAACCTGTTTAATAAAAATCATAAAGAAAGGGGAAAAAAGAACATGACGAATCTTTTCCTAACAACGACGTAGTCAAAAGAAGGAGCAAATTAAACTCATAAAACCTGCTGCCAAGCTTCGTTAAGTTTTCTATTAACACATGTTGTAGAGCTT